ACAGAGCCTCTGCAGGCCCAGCCAGGCCAACCTGTGCTGCCCCTGCCCACTCCACCTTCCGGCTACTCTCCAGGCACAAGTCTGAAGGAAGCTGTGGACTGCAGACCCAGCCAGATCCACCCAAGCCTGGGAGCCCCCAGCCAGCGCTGGCAGCTGGCACCACCTGCCGGCCTAGTGCCAGAAGCCTGGGGATGTCAGGGCAGAGCAGAGGTGGCCTGCAGCTGCCTGGGCCTGGGGCCTGCCCCCTCCCCTCTGCTGCCCTTGCCTGGGCTGCTATAGCCTCAGGTCAGGCTCCCCCGTCCCCTGCGCCGAGCCTCCTAGGCCACAGACAACTGACCCTGAGGGTGGACATCCCTCCTGACACCCCTCCCGCCTCCCTGGCCCAGCAGAAGCTAGGCTGGCAGAGGGCGCCCCGTGGGCTGGCCAGCCCTTAGAAATATGGCCAGGCTTGGTGCCACGGGGGCGGCAGAGCCCCTGTAGTTGCCTAGGGCAGGATGGCAGTTACCCCAAGCTCCCCGTGAGCCACTGGTCCTGACTTGCCATACTGCCTTGTCACCCCCAGGCTCCAGAGTCGAGTCACCTGAAGAAGACCACCCGCTGGTCCTCCTTGGGCTGCGAGTCCCGGCCCAGGTCTGCCAGCGTGAGCTGGGCTCGAGCCTGTGCCAGGAACAGCCCCACTTTGCTCCTGGCTACCCTGAGGGGTGGCCCAAAGGCTGGGCCTCAGTGGGCAGCAGCCTTGGGGTGGACAGGCACACTGAACCAGGCCAGTGTGAGTCCTACATGGAGGAGTCCAGTGACACTGCGGTTGCAGGCAGCTGGCCAGGGCAGCCATTGCCACAGGAGGCGGGCTGACCCATGAGGGAGCACCCCCACTCCCAGCAGCTGGACCCTGGCAGCTCAGGACAGCCCATGGCCCCTACACCTGGCTCTCCTCCAACCCCCAGCCCTGCTGTAGAAAGTAGAGAATCATAGCCCTTTCCCCAACTGTGGCTGGGACCAGATCCTCCAAGGCAGGGATGGGCTAGGACCCCCTGTTAAGGGATTAGAGTGACCAGCGGCCAGCCTCTATGCTCCACTGTGTGGAGGAGCGCACCCCGAGCACACCCCTGCCACGCAGGCCTGACCCCACCAAGCAGAGGCTCCCCCTCAGCTGAGGCTCAAGGTGATGGGGCCAGAGAGGTGGAGTCACCCCTTGACTCTAGGTGTGGAGGGTGCTGCCTGCTGACCCACCATCCTGATGACTTCCCACAGCAATGAAGAGGCCCCAGAGGCTGGCCAGCCAGGTAGCTGTCCCCAGTCCTCCCACAGCTTCTAGCCTCCTTCCCCTTCTCCTGGGCCTCGGCCAGCCCTGCCTGGGCACGAGGTGTGCCAGCCTGTTGGGGGCCGACATGCCCTTTCCATCCCTCACAGGCCCCAGCAGTCAGGGGGCAGGCAGCTGGACTGAAGGACCCAAGCCCAGGCCAAGACTAGATAAGGCTCACGAGGGCTGCAGACCCTGGCTGGGACCAGGGAAGGACAGCATCAAAGGACCATGGGGCCCTGGAAGTTGGGGCTGGTGCTGGAGGACAGAGCCCATCAATGGGGTCCCGCCCTCACAGAGAACCAGGGCTACAGTCACCAGTAAGACCTGAGCGACAGGAGGTCCGTGGAACTCAGGCTGGCCAGGAAGTGCCCAGAGTCCTGGGCAAGAAGTTGGCTGGACTGCAAGGCGGGATGAGCTGAAGGACCCGTATGGGCACCAGCCGTTCCGGCCATGCAAGGGCCTTGGTGGCTCCAGAGCTGTCTGCACAGCTGCACAGGACCTCTCAGTGGAGGTCCAGGGAGCAGGGGTGCAGCATCAGGTCTGGGTCCCCTGGCCAGTCGGAGGTGGACCCGACCTTGCCTTGACCAGGTTGCCCCCCGTTAGGATGAGAGCCCTCTCCTTACAGACCCAGTGGGGCCCCATGAGGACTGGGGGTGTGGCCGCAGGCCCCCGGGGAGCCCACTCTCGCCAAATGCCCCATCCAGCCGGCTCAGCTAGCATCATCAGGGGTCCTGGAGGGGGGGCAGAGGGCTAGCTCAGCTGGCAGAGGACGCAGGTGGCTGACAGGGCCCTTGCAGCCCCTGGCTGTGGCCTAGGCAGGACCAACACCCTCACCCAGGACTGCACGCCTCAGGACAGACCCCTGGTGGCCCGAGGCTCCTCAGCCCAAGCACGGGCAGCAGCGTGCCTGGCCCTGTGCGGCTGAGCCCAGGATGGTCAACCTGGTCAAGGCAAGGTCGGGGCCCACCTCCGAGTGGCCAGGGGACCCGGACCCGGGACCCTCCTGCAGCGAGCAGCCTGGGCCCTGCACCCCACTCGCTGCACTCCATAGACCCTCCCGGTGCAGCTGCCAGCCCCCAGGAGCCCAGCCTCCTGGCCCCACCTGTCTCCCAAGCCAGCCCACTTCATGGGGTCCAGCCTCACAGCCTGGGCCTGCTCTGGTGTCCATTTTGTAGGCCAGGTCCTGGTCCTGCCCAGGGACTGGGTGGACCAGTTCCCATGGCTGACACCCAGGCGCTCGGGACACCCTGGCTGGTCCCTCCCTCTTCGACATTGGACCCCCGTGTCCCTCAGCCACATCCATGCTGTGAGGGACCCCTGCCCTGTGCTCCCTCCTCTGTGTCACAGGTCTCCTGTGTCTCCATCTTGGGCCTGGGCACTTCCACAGGTCCAGGGGTGGAACTGACACGTGCTCCCTCATTTCCACCTCACACAGCACCCTGTGCCCAGGAGTCACCTCGGGCCCCTCCCTTGGGGACAGCTGCAGACTGGCCTTCAACACCCCTTTGAAGCCAGGAGGGCTGGGAGGGGGAGCGGTCACACCCGAGGGTGTCAGACCCAGCCGTCCTTTCAAGTTTGCCGGCCTTCACAGGCAACCAGCTTATCGCTGGCCAGGACACTGCTGGAGGGAAAACCAGGCCTGGCTCCACAACCTGCACACACGCTGGCCACCCCCCGGGCCTGCCAGGACAGCTGCCTCCTGAAGTCCCTCAGAAGCCCCTGGACCCCGCCTGGCCTGGTGTGGGGGTCACCTGGAGGACACAGCTGCATCCCCTCTTCTGACCCCAGCTTGGACCCTCAGGGAAGGGAACACTGTGGCATAGACATGCACCCTGCCCTGTCTCATAGCCCCATGCACTGACCTTCATGGTGGCCAAGGGCACTGGGGCCTCATCCAGTGGAGGGGTTCAGGGGACCTCTGCTCTGGGCTCCCTGTCCCCTCCCAGGGTCCCTCGTCCCTCAGCCCTGGGCCTTGACGTGTCCTGACCACAGCCCCCACCCCACTCCCCAGGACCGCCCAGCCTGCAGTGCGATCATTCCCCCCAGGCCTGGGAGCCCCCAGAGGGACGGGATGTCTGGTGAGACAGGTACTCAGGGCAGGTGTGGCCACACATGGGCAGCCAAGCCCCAGAGTCCCAGCCAGGGGAGCTGGGCTCCAGTACTGTCCCCCTCAGAAAGGTCATGGTCCCTGCCTCCTGCCGTGCCCAAGGCACACAGGCTCAGCCTGTGCCCACCATGTCCCAACTGCGTCCTGTACTCACAGGCAGCCATAAGTGTCCTAAGGGACCTGGGGTGCTAGGGCAAGGGGCACAGGTGAGGTGCTGGTGTGCACCTCCGCCAGGGGGCTGGGGCAGCAGCCAAGGTGTCCTTGTGGGGTGGCAGCAGGGTCCAGCCAGGGTCTCTAGGCTCATGGCAGAGGCAGCAGCCCAGGAGGGCTTACCCCTTCAGGCAGCCAGAAGAGGCCGATCACAGAAGGGTCTTAGCCCCAGGGCAACTACTCAGGGGGCTGGAAGGACCAAGGGCCCCGTGAGGGCAAGGAGGGGCCTCCCCTTGGGATCTCCCTGCCCCACATAGCACCCGGCACAAACTGACCAGGAGCTGAGGCCAGCCCACCACCTGCGATCTCTCCCCAGGACCCCAAAGGGCCCAGCCAGGACTGGTGAGAACACAGGCCCTGGGCCAGTCTGCCCTGCTCACCAGGGCTCTCTCCTTCCAATGAGGGCCTGGCCCAGCTCTGTCACAGGCCTGGGGCTGGGCTCTCGGGTGCCTCCCCTCTGTCTACTCCAGGAAGCTCACTGATTCCCACATGCAGCTCTGCACGGCCCCCCACCCCTGGGGTCTTCCCTTACACCATCCCCCTCTCCAGACTGAAACCGACCAGGCAGCGGGCGATGCTTGTCTTATCTGGACAACATCTGCTTGTCACCAGCTGCGAGCCGCCTGGAACCAACCTGTGCCCTCATGGCCATGGCCAGGCCTCTCCAGCATCTGCCAGCCAGGCTCACAAGGCTCCTATCACCATGGAGTCAGGACACCCCATGGCTTCTCCCAGGGCTGGCCTGTGTGCTCAGGACAGCAGTGAGTATGGCCTGGGGGAGTGGGCAGGGGAGCAGGGACTCTGTCCTAAGGTGCATGGCGTCCACGTGAGGGCACACCAGCACCCACCAGCCCCCCAGAGACCTCACACATTCCAGTCAGCCTCATACCCCTCGAGGGCACGGTAATGGCTACAGGGGAAGCCTTACCACTCTGGCCAGGCAGCCCCTGCACACCAGAACACAGCCCTCCTGATGGCCACATGGCCAGACTGCTCCTAGGACGGGGGCAGTGTCTCTTCACAAGGGGCTCTGGACCAGGGCAGGCAGGTGCCTACCTCCAGGGTGGTCCAGTGGACTGGAGCCTACTTTCCCAGCAGAAAAAGGGACTGTCACCACTACCACAGAAGTGGAGGGCACTCAGTGACCTGGGCCTGGCCATGGAGAAGCTCCAGGGAAGGGAAGCAGAGGCAGGGTCTGGCCCAGGGCAGAGCGGGCACCAGCCAGCCCACTGTGCAGGGATGTGGCTGGGCCCACACAGCACCAGCCTGAGCCCCAGGTCCCACACTGCTGCTGGGCCACCCTGGTGAGCCCCAGGAAGGCCTGCCCACACCTACCCCGGAGGAGACGCGCGGCCAGCCCAGGCAGAAACAGCACTGAGGAACGGGATGCACACGGTTTTAACAAAATAAATTAAATATACGAGGCTTCAGCTCAGACTCTACATGAACTCACAGAGGCCCGGGCTGCCCGGGCAGGGCTTGTGGGTGTGGACACCAGCATGGCGGCAGGCCAGGCCAGGGTCCTGCAGCCCAGACCTCCTTCATCTAAACATAAATATCAAGGCCCCCTCCCTCTGGCAGTGGGGGAGGACGGCACGTCCCCCCAGCCCCAGCCTCCCCCAGCTACTCCACCCCCAGGCCAGGGTGCTGGTGGATGCCTGGGCACACAGGTGGTAGAGGCAGACCAGCAACCAAGATGGGCAGGGACACAGGTGGAGGCGTGGGAGAGTGACCCTGGAGACCGTGAAGCCCTCCTCACAGGGCAGGGAGAGTCCTTCATCTACTAGCCACGGTCACAACACCCCGGTCTGCCAGGACTCGTCCGTGTGTGTGTGTCCCCTGGTGTGTATGTGTTCCATGGTATGTGTCCCCTGGTGTGTGTCTCCCCTGGTGTGTGTATGTCCCCCAGTAAGCCTGTGTTCCCTGGTGAGGATGTGTCCCCTGGTCTGCACATATGTCCCAGGGGGTGTGTGTGTGTGTCCCCTGTCTGCACACATGTCCCCTGGTGGAAGTGTTCCCTGGTAAACCTGTTTCCCCTGGTGTGTCCCCTGCTAAGCCTGTGTCCCCTGATGTGTGTCCCCTGGTGTGTGTGTCTCCTGATGAGGATGTGTCCCCTGGTATGTGTGTGTCCCATGGTGTGTATGTCCCCTGGTCTGCACATGTGTCCTGTGTGTGTGTCCCCTGATGCGTGTATCCCTGATCTGCACGTGTCTCCTGGTGTATGTGTCCCCTGGTAAACATGTGTCCCCTGGTGTGTGTGCCCCTTGGTCCACACGTGTCCATGGCCTGTGTGTGTCCACTTGCCAGCATGTCCATGTGCGTGGCCAACGTGTGCCTTGTGCAGGGAACCCAGGGTGCTGCCTCTCTCCCTCAGTCCTGACCTGCCTCCCTCCGGCCTCCCTACCCACCCGGGGACACAGCCGTGAGGTGGCTGCTGCCTAGCACTGGTAGTGAACGTGCTGGTGGACCTTGCCCTCCACGTGGGAGTGTGTGTGTGAGTGTGTGTGCGTGTGTGTGTGCACGTCCGTGTACAGCCTGGAGTACAGCTTGGGGCCAACTGCCGGGCCTGGGCCAAGCAGGTGCTGGGGGCCAGCTGGGGGCCCGTGTTCTGCACACAGCCCAGCGGCCGGGGCAGGTAGGTCCTTGTCACCACCACTGCGGTCCCGAGCCACCCCGGGGGCACGGTGCCCAGGTGCCAGAGGCACAGGCACGGGGGCACAGGGTTTCTTCTTGGCCTGGCAGAGCCACAGCAGCACAGTGCCCAGGATGAAGACAGCGCCCGCTGGGATGCCGATGACCACAGGCCACGGCAGACTGGTGGCCGAGGATGAGGGGGCCACAGGTGGCCCCGGTGGCTTGGGGTCTGCAAAAGAGACCGAGGGAAGGGCTGGAAAGGGGAAGGAGACTGCGTGGACAGCTCCCCAGGATTCCCAGGTGGCAGGGCAGCCTGTGCCGGGGACCAGGGAGGGAGCACCCGCCCCAGGGGGCCGCGTGGGGGGGCTGCGCACCTGGGAGCACGGTGAGGAAGGCGCTGCGGGAGCTGTAGCCCATGGTGTTGGCACCCAGACAGATGTACATGCCCGCGTCCTCCTGGCGGGCCCGTGAGATGAGCAGTTTGTTGAGGTAGGAGCCGTCCGGCCGGGACCACACGTCGCCCGTGGGCAGCACTAGGAACTTCTGGCCACCCACGTCGATGGTGGAGTTGTGGCGGCCCTCGGCCCCGTACTCCACACGCTTTAGCCACTGGATCACAGGCCGCACGTCGCTGCGCACCTTGCACTGGAAGGAGGTGGTGCCCCCGAAGTCCACCGTCGTGTTCACCGGGTGTGTGCCCGTGAGCACGGGCTTGGAGCGAGTACGCTCTGTGGCAAGGACGGGCGGTTGGTGTGGCTCCTCGGCTTGCTGGGCCCCACCCACCACCCTGCCCGGCCATACTCACGGATCACATCCACCTTGTAGGTGGCATTGATGGCGCCTGCCCTGTTGGACACGCGGCACGTGTACTTGCCGCTGTCCTCAGGACGCAGGTTCTTCAAACTCAGGGTCCACTTCTTCTTCCTGTGCTCACTGGCCTCCGGCCGCATCAGAGCCTGGTCATCTTTCATCCACATGATGTCAGGCCGAGGATGCCCACTGGCCACACACTTGAGCCGCACAGAGCTGCCCACAGGCCGGGCAATCACCCGCCGTCGCATCTTGGAGGGCTGCGTGAATCGGGGTCGTGCTGCGGGGCAGGGCACCTGAGGTCAGGGGTGGTACCAGGAAGGGCATCACCCTGCCCCAGGCAGATGGCACCACCCTGCCCATACTCACCCCACTGCTGGCTGGTGGGGTCCTCCTGGCCCCCTGAGGAGCTGCTGGGCCCCAGGCTCTCCTTCCCTGGGCCAACATCATCTGCAGAAAGAGGGGCCCACAGGGGCAGGTGAGGGGGTGCCAGAGCCCCACCAGGCCTGACACGCCCCAGCTGGGATGCCCTGGAACCCAGGCGGAGGCATGGGCACACCCACATCAGAATCCAGGGACAGCTGGGCAAGGGCCTGCATGCAGGTGACCCCGACAGGCATGGGTGTGTCTGCAGGGCCTCCCCCCCAGGCTCCAGGGGTCTGCAGGACCGGGGAGAGGAGGGGTGGGCCCAGCCAGCAGCTGCGGTAACCCTAGCCCACATCAAGGGGCCGAGGGCTTGGTGAGGAGACGTGGCTGACATTCCGCCTGGTCACCGTCCCCTCTCTGAGAACAGTGGGGGTGCTGCGTGGTATTCCCACTCCACCACCAGAGGCGGCCTGGGGAGTGCCGGGGACAGGGCGTGCTAAGGAATGTCCCTCCACCCGCCTGCAGCAGCAGCCGCCTCACTGAGCCTGGGACCCGAGGCCAGGCTGCCAGGCTGCCACCCTGGATGGTCACTGAAACAGGCCCGCCTGGGCCCCACACCGGGGGCCAAAGGGAGGGGCGTGTCTCTGGGACACCTGTCCCTTCCCCAGTGCCCAGGCCCCAGGGGCAGGAGAGAACAGAAAGGCCCTTTGCTTCCCAGCGGCCCCTCTGAACTCGGAAACCCGATCCTCAAAGCCCTGACCACGCCAAGGCGCACCCTGCCAAGCCCAGGGCCCGTTGGTGGCCCTTCACTGGGGAGGACCACCGCCTAGGGCCTCCCATCCTACCCCTGATGCCAGAGGAGGGGCTGAGGCTGGGCCTGGGGATCAGAAGAAGGTCCAGGCTGCCTGAGGCAGGCTCAGCTGGTGGCAGCTCAGGTCACAGGGATATGCTGCTCAGGGCCATGCTGGCTCACCTGCCCAGGTGTGGCCCCCAGGCGTGACTCCCCAGCTCTACCATGCCCTCCTGCACACCCCCGGCCCGACCAGCTCAGGCCAGCCACGACCTCTGGCCCCTGCTAACTGACCCATCACGATGAGGGTGTAGTTGACGCTGAGGCTGCCGAAGCCATTGGTGGCCTTGCACACGTACACGCCTGCGTCCTCCGCCTCCACCTCCTTCACCTTCAGTCCCTGGGGCAGTACCCGGAAGCGGCTCCAGCCACTGTGGATCGTGCGGCCATCCTTGGTCCACATTGTCAGAGGTGGTGGGTCCCCCTCTACTGGGCACTGCAGTCGCACAGTGCGGCCCAGCCGGGCCACCTGCCGTGGGACTACCTTGTCTGCCATTCTTGGAGGGCCTGTGAGGACCAGAGGGCTTGGTCAGGGAGGGGCATGTGGGGGACCAGGGCACTCCCTGCCTGGCCCCCACCTGATTCCACTCAGGAATTCCAGTGAGGCAAGGAGGCCCCAAGCACAGGCCTCCTGGACCACAGTAGCTGACGTCCACCAGAGCCCATGGGTCGTCCACCCAGCTCCTGGCCAGGGCAGCTTCCAGAGCCCAGGAGGAAGGGTCCCTGAAGGGGTGGGCAGAGCGTGCTCAACAAGGTACACACCTAGAGAACAGGGCCAGCTCCCGGTCACAGGGCCAGGAGCCAAGGCCCCCAGACCAAGAGGATGGGGTCCTGGGGACTGGACAGCAGGCGGAGGCTCCAGGCCGGGCACAGCCAGGGCCCGCCAGGGGCCAGCCAGGCCTGGGCCAGGGCAGCCAGGCCTGGGTCAGGGCAGCAACCTCACAGCCTCCACACCTGGAGGGCACAGGGGTCAGCTGGAGCTGCCACTCACTACAGAGCCCAGGGTGCTCAAAGCGGTCACTGCTTTGTGTGCCAACAGCAGCAAGGGTGCCACAGGCAGGCTGCATGCCCAGAGTTCCTTCTGCTGCCCCCTCTGAGTTCATGGCAGCATCAGGAGGCCCAGTGAGCCGTCCTGATGTGGCATTGCAGGAAGGGCCCAAGGCAGAGGACCAGGCTCCACAGGCCGCCAGCGAGAGAAGCCACCTCCTGGGCCGGGTGCCCCTTGCTGGCAGAAAGACTCCCACACACCCACCCCAGCTCAGCCTCCGCCCCACCCACCCAGTCCCACCAGGTGCCTCTGGGTTGAACTGCGGGAACAGGTGACCACTGGCTAGGGATGAAGGTCCAGAATGCAGGACCTGTGGGCATCAGAAACATGGGGCTACACAACACCTCTGGGAAGGGAGCCCAGAACCAGGACCACAGAGGCCGGGGACCTCTGTGTGTGTCACTCTTCCGGTCATCTCCCCCTCTGCACCCCTGAACAGAAGACACAGCCGCTCAGGATGAGGGTGTCCGCCCATGCTGTGGCTACCCCTGGCCAGGCGCATCTCTGGCACCCAGGTCAGGCTGCGCCCAGAGGCACCAGGAGGAGGTGTCTGTGGTAGCAAGGACCAAGGGCCAGTGCGTTTCATGACCAGCTGACTGCTACAGCCTGGGGCGTGGCCCAGGCCCCACGGGCATCCCCAGATGGAGCTCTCCTCCTCTCCACAGTGTGGGAGCCCAGGGGACGGGTTCCCGGGCCACACTGCAGCCCTGAGGAGGCGGGGCGGGGTCCCTGGAGGAAGCTCTCCTGCCCCTGCTCTCCTGCCCACAAAATGGCCAGGCCCAGCCCCTTCCTGCCTTCCTGGGACTCTTCTGGCCCATCCCTCCCCCTTGACATGGGCCCCTCCCACAGCACCCCTCCTCACCAGCCTCCCTGGTTCCCCTGCAAGGGGAGAGATGGCAGAGGTGGGAAGGGGCTGCCAGCTGCCTGCCCACTAAGCTCACCCCACAGACCACCCCTGGCAGCACAGCCCATGCAGTCTCAGGGCCCCAGAGCCCACAGCTCCCAGTGGGAGGGGCTGCCAGGCCCACAGACACAGGGGCCTTCTGAGGCCTCGCCCCAGCCCTCGCAGGGTCCCAACCCCATTCCCAGGAAGACCCTGCCCACCACCTGTCACTATCTGAAATTCCACCATTCACAGGGCTCCCAGGCTACAGGACAATAAAGGAGGGGCCAAGACCCTGCCCTGGCCACCCCAGCTGGCCCAGTGCCCAGGGTCTCCTGGACAGACACACACACAAGGCAGCACACACACATGTGCACATGCATATGCATGCTATCATATGACTGCTAGAAAGAGCCTGGGCACCCCTGGGAGCTGCCCATGGCCAGGCTGCTGCACAGCCAGTATCAGGAGGGTCTGCCCAGTCCCAGGCCCTCCTCACCTGTCAGAAGGAAGAAAAGCCTGGGGAAGGATGCAGGGATGGGAAGGAGCCCAGAGGATGAATGGACAGACCCCTGCTTACAGTCACTGCTGAGAAGAGGGGCAGAGCCAAGTGACCACCAGATGGCCGGAAGCATGGCCCCTAGGGCCAGCCTGCACACAATCCTGGGGGTTAGGCTGGCGGCAGCCTGGCCAGAGGAGCCAGCCTTATCCTAAAGCAAACAGCAACCCCCCTGGCCCTGACCCTACCCACCTTACCCTGCAGGCGAGGCCCGCCTGGCAGGAAGCCTGGCCCCCCAGATTCCTGGGAATCGTGCCGGTGGCATGGCTGCCTCGGCTCTATATTTAGCTCAGGAGACACAAGCCTCATTGTTCCACCTGGACTGGCTGGTGGACCCACTCAGCCCACAAGGAAACTGAGGCAAGACCTGAGGACCCCAGCCAGCAACGGAACTGACCACCCCACATTCTGCCTCAGGTCAGCTCGTTTGGGAGACAGCCCTGGGGCAGGGGCTGGGGTCCAAAAGCCACGCCGAGCCCAGCCCCAGGCCCTGCTTGAGCACAGGAGCACCTAGCCTGCCCAGCCTCCTGGCGAAAGCCCCAGGAAGGCCCAGCACAGGCAGGAGGCAGAGGCTGGTGCTGGGGTAGAAACAGGACCCAGTGCTTCTCTGATGAGGACAGTGGGGACTGGACATTGGAGTGTCAGGCCCTGCTCCAACATGGGAGGCAGGAGGGTCTTCCCAGGATAAAACCCACCTGTGAGGCCCACACCTAGGCCCAGCAAGGGTGAGCAGGGAGGCACGCATACCACCGTGTCTGCGGGGACAAAGGCCAGACCCGGGGGAGGGCTGGCGCCTGACCCCACTTGCTGGAGCTGCCCAGTCACACTCAGAACCTGGAGGCTCCGCTCAGGTGGGGCCTGGCCTCCAGAGCCAGGTCAGCCTCGCCCCCACCTCTGCAGAGCTGAGCCCGGCCCGGCCAGGTCAGCTGGGATGCCCAATCGACAAGTCGACAAGGGAGCTTCCAGGCAGAAGGCCTGCTGGGTCCGTGTGGGAGCCTCCCTTGGAGGGCAGACGTGGCCATAGCATCAGAGTCAAGACACCTGACCAGGCCTGGGGAGGTAACCAGGGGAACAGGCCCCCCTCCAGCCCCAGGAGAGGAGTGGGTTCCGGACCAGAGAGCAGTCCCCCACCCCAGGACCTCACCTGAGGACCTGGAGCTACTCTCCCAGAGAGGCTGCTCTAGGTGTGGGCACAGGGGCCTCAGACACCATGGAGGTGTGAGCCTATAAGACCCGGCTCAAGCCCAGCTTGGTACCCCAGAAGCCCTGCACAACCCCAGGAATTCCCAGGCTAGAAAGAATTCTCTGGTCAGGCAGTGGGCCTAGCTGCAAGGTGGGGTCAACCAGCCAGAAACCTGTGGGCCCCTCCTAGAGAAGGAAGTGGCCTGGTAGGGGACTCAGGAAGCTGAGGAGAGGCAGGCCCACCCTGTACACAGCCTCTAGAAGGGGCCACAGCACAAGCCAGCCCAGGAGGGCTTCCAAGGCATCTGCCCCAAGGGATCAGACTGCCAGGTGTGAGCCTCTGCAGCTGGCACCTCGAGGCACTGCCCTGGCTCCCTCATCACCCATACCTGGGGCTCCAGCTCAGGAGTGAGGTGAGAAGTCCCACATACAAGGTCCCCAGGGCCAGCACCCACACTAGGAAGCCACTGCCTGGACAAACAAGAGCAGGGCCGTCCCCCAGGAGAGAAGGCAAAGGTGACTATCACAGGCCCAGATGCCCATCTGGTGTCTGGGGCCAGGTTCTACTCATCCCTGAATGGCCCAGACACACGTGGGTCACACACACACACACACACACACACACCAGACACATGTGCACAGCCCAGAGCCAGTCGCCAGGAGCCCAGGACACCCTGGGGGCTGGACCCACAGGATCTGCTGCTGAACTGGTAGGACCCGCAGGACAGGTGGTTGCCTCAGAAACCAGGTCATTCTGGGCATGGCAAAGGGAGGCTGTGCCCAGAAAGCTGGCAAAGTGGTTGGCCCTTTCTGCTGCTCAGCAGTGGCCACCAGGCAAGACAATAGGCATGTGGGGGCACCCTGAAGATAGTGCCTAGCCTCCAGGTCTGTGTCCTCTCGGGAGCCTTCGGCTGGCACATCTGTGGGCTCTGGGCTCCCAGAGACTTTTCCTTGACACACTGATCCACACACAGAGCAGGCACCCATGTCACCAGATGGGCCACTCCCCGGAGGGGATGCACACACCCTGCCCACAGCGTAGTGCCACAGTACCTACCCAGGGAATGTCCCAAAGAGCCAGGCAGGCCCAGGCTCAGGCCCAGGCCCAGGCCCAGACCTCAGCAGGCCCACTAGACAAAGAGCCACCCACCCCTTTCCCCCCATGCCACAAACATCAACCAGTCAGGCCACATCCTAAAATTCAGGCCTCCTATCACAGCCACCCAGAGGGGCCTCACCTCCTGCACAGCCCTGACCCTTAGCCCCAGCAGCCTCAAACCTCAGACGTGTCAACAAGGCTGTTTCCTGAGCACAGACTTCTCGGACAGAGGTCAGATATTGAGCTGATGTGCAGTCCCCTACGGGGGCTCTCAGCTCCCAGATGGGACCAGGGAATCCCTGGAGCAGTCTGGGCATATTAGTTACCACCAGCCCAGGTCCTGTTCACATGACCAACTCTTCAAGGACAGGCTGAGGATGTGAGGGTGCCAGGCAAGCAAGCCACCCAGGCAGGGATTCCCTGGGTCCCTGAAGGGCGTAGGGTCCTGAGCACACAGTGCTGCCTGACGCCAGTGTGTGGAAAAGGGCTAGAGCCCCACAGTCACCTGGGAGCCAGGTGGATAGGCTGCAGGGAGCAGAGGGACACTGGACAAGGAGCCCAAGTTCCCTGAGGGGCCCCTTAGGCTGTCACCATGCCCTGAGCCTGGGCCTCCCCTGCTTGCTAGCCCTGCACACAGAGGAGGGCAGAACAGGGCTCCCTTCCCACCCACTGCCTAGGGCCCTGTCAATGTCTCCATAGCCCCTGGCCAACTCACATAAATCTCTCAAAGAATAAACTCTCCAGGCGGGCAGAAGAAGGGTCCTGCTCCCTGCCAAATGGGAAGCCCTCTACACAGCTCCCAGGCTGGCAGACACCAGTCTGGCTGAGGCTGCCTCCTGTTCTTGAGGGACACACCTCTCCTAGGCCTGCCTGGCCCTACCCCATGAACCCCTTTCCACTCCCATACCCTGCTCTGCCCCCCACTCAGCCATCCTGGGCTGTGGATGCCTGGGGCAGCAGCACCCACCCCAAAGCAGCCCCTACTCTCCTCCACCAAGGGTAGCCAGGCTGGGCACTGTGAGGCCTGGCCAAGAGTATGCAGTGACCAGTGCTAGGAAGAGTGGGTGGCAGGCAGGGGAGGGCATCCTCCAGGTCTGGGTTTAGTGGCCTGGGCAAACCTTTTCCTCCGCCCACTGGAGGGGGGATGTCACCAAACAAAGCCTAGAATGGGGCACAGCCTACCAGCATGGGCTAGGCACCAGGCCCTGCTGTATGGCAAGCAGGTGGTCAGCAGCGTGGGCAAGCTCTTGGGGCCACGGCCCACTGCCCCCAGCACCGTCAGCAAAGCCTGAGCTGGGGGCAGGCAGGCCTGGGCTGGAGGCCTCAGCTGGGGAAAAACCAACATTTCCCCAGTCAGGGCCACGCACAGGGCAGGCAGGCTGAAAGGCAGCTCTGAGATCCCGGAGGCCCACTGACTCCCGCACAAAGGACAAAGAAGCCAGCCAAAGGCGACTTTGTTCCCGACCCCCCTCCCCTGAAGGGGACAGTGATTCATTTTCCTTCACAGGAGTGGGGCCCAGATGTGAATGGAGAGGTTGGCCCGCACCCCACCCCACAGTGCCTGGGCCCTGCTCCCACACGCCCAGTTCAGACCCAGCTACACACTGGTCAGCCGCTGCCTGGACAGGAGGAGGCTTCCTGCAGCCAGGCCAGAGGCAGAGGTCAGCATTGCACACCACACTGGCCATCACTCATCTGCCTCAATGTCCATTGTCCATAACACACCAGCCCTGCAGCATGGGTGGCCACAGCACCATGGCCACTTGAGTTCCTAACTCTGACATGGGTTAGGACCAGCTTGCCCCGAGCATGGCAGCTAGATCCACAGGGCAGGGAGTGACCCCAGGGACCAGCTACTCAGTGTCTGTCCCCCAGGGTGTCCCTGCAAAGGCAAAGCAGCACTTCTCAGAAGGCCCAACTGGACTTCTTTCACAGCTGTGTGTGGAAGGTGTTTCACTCCAAACCTTGGAGTCCCCACTGCGAGAAATAAAATGGAATGGAAAAAGCCAAATCCTATCTTTTTTCAAATATGAAAAAGCAGTCTAAGACAAACCCACCAAGATTGTGAAACTCGGGGCAAAGGGGAACTTTTAAAGCAGAATCTGGATCTGGAGATGTACCCAGTCCAGAAACTGTGCCACCCCAGGGAAACAGCTTTCAAAACGGCCTCACACCACGTCCACTCCACGGTTCCACTGAAGGTCCAAGCTGGACCTGCTCCTGAGGAGTGGAACACACAGAGGACTTCACCCCTGCAGTCCAGGCTGGGCCTGAAGGGGAAGTGAGCACCACTCAGGAAACACAGTCCTCCCCACCTCCATCCCAAACCACAGAGGCCCTTGCCTTGGAAAGCAGCCCCTCCTGGCTCCCTAGGCTGCCAGGGCCGGATGTGAGGGGCAGCCCCAAGGCCGTGGCCAAGGGGGACAAGGGTAGCAAGGGTGGCCCCTCAGAGTCCCTCAGCAAAGGGGCAAGCCCTGTCTACCCACTACCATCTACCAGTCAGCCTCAAAGTCTGGCCAGTAACCATGGCAGGACAGAGACCTCCAGAGCCTCTCTGGCTGAGTGGTCAGAGAACAGGCAGGTGCAAAGATAGGGGAGTCCAAGCAGATAAAAGAGGAATCCAAGCCTGGGCCACTGGCCCTGGTGGGGCTCACCCGGCATGGCCCGAGTACCCGTGGTGCCCTGGGCAGTGCCCAGCCCTGCCCCTCCT